ATTTCCAAAATCCTATAAAAATTTTAAATCTATTAAAATACAATAACCAATAACCCCACTAAGTATAAGTTTTCTACAAATAAAAATAATGATTAGCTTAATTTCACACTGGAGGAAGTACTGGTAAATAGTTAAATGACTTTTGGGACTGAAATATTGACTGACATATTGAAATTAGTATCCTTGTATCCCCGTCCAAAAGAGTAAAATCCTTTAAAATCACCAGTTGTTATCCTAGTGAAGTTAGAAATTTATGTCTAGTATTCGTTTCTTGAAACATATAGTTGCTATGTAGAAAACATATATATCTCCGCATTCATATTTGAATAAAAGAGTATGTTACTATATGGTGACAAGCAAAAAGGTTGGTAATTTTCTTGTTTGTTGAATGGTTTGGTTCGTTTAGACACCAAACTTTGAAGTTTAAAAAACCTATAAACCTTAAACATTCGATAACTTGTCACAGTATTCACCTGATCAATGAGGATTATAAAATGTATAGTTCACTATGCATGACAAGAATATTCCTATCCATTGTGATTTGTGGGCGACTAATACGAATATTCTATGTTTATAATTAAAAAGTGTATTTTACCCTCTTTTGTTGCAAAACACTCTTTTAAGTATATTTTTATGATACATTATTAAATTTTGCTAATCACAACCACAAAAGTATTTCTAACATGGGTCAAAATGCACATGCCTTGCAATGGTACTTTGTCCCCTGTCGGTGGATCTACAATTTTAAACACACAAATAAATAGCAATCACACGAGCATTTAATGACATATTTAAATGTTTCATTCGTTTCTTGCTAAATGCCTTACGTAGCCAAACCCGAAACGACGGCAACAACTATAAATCATATGTATTCCAAAAATAAAGAATTTGACAAAAATATGTGGACTTAATACTTTACCATGCATTGTAAGATTGTAAATGGGGAGTAGATAGCTACTTTCTTTCAAGGTTTTAATAGATAAGCTAACAATGTTTCGACCAAAAAAAAAAAACTTACAATGTTTGACATCATATATAAACAAATGAGAAACTTTGCATTAAGTCCAATAAAATACTCTATATTAATTATTACATCACATATATTCGTAAATATATCAGGTGTAATGCATCCATTATTAAGATTGATCTTAATGTAGTAAGAAGAAAATCACGAATACGATTTGGTGTTACATTACATCTTGTTATGATTCAAAATAATATCTATTGATCTTAATGTAGTAGTGATTGTTGTTGTTTTCCAAAAAGTTGCACAGGACATGCTCAATGAAATTTTGCTTTTGGGTGATATTGAGATCGCATATAATAGAGTTCATACGCGATCACAATTTATAACGGATGTTATTGACACGCGGGATAATCACCACCGTTCGTTTTTTCTTCTTTCTCACATCACTTTCTTGCAAATATTACAGTTTTTGTTTTTGTGTTCACCAAATGAGGAGGCACTTTGAGATTCCCAATTATATCTTCTCAACCGTATAGCAACCGAGTTTTTTTGTCATAACTATTTGTTTGTATCCAAAGTAATACATTTATCATCCATGCTTCCACTAATCTTACATAAACAAGTAGGGATTCAATCACATAATAGATTTTTGTCCTAACTCTTCTCTTAGTCTATGAAAGCTTAAAGAGGGCAATTTCGAAAAGATGAAATATAAGATAGTACAATTATCACTTGGTACCAACATATCCCTTGATGTGCTTCCATTTTTTTTTGTTGTAGCTTTTGGATATTTTTGTGTATTTTACTTCCTTAGCCATTTCAACAATATTGAATCGAATGTTAGGTTTCAAAATAAATGAGACAAACCATTAAACGAGACTCAAGCTGTTTAGGAATCTGATAAAGAAATTCACTCATTAGGAGACAGATTTAAATTTCATGCATCAGCTCTTTTTTTTTTTGGTCGGATGAGGGGACAATGTCCCCGGTTATTTAAATTTCATGCATCAGCTCTTACAATACATATTGTACTCGCATAGATTAAGAAGACTGAAGAAACACATGAGACTTCTTTACACTTCAAAAATTCATTCAAACCAAGACTGGACTATACAACCCGGATTTGTATTCAAAAATTCATTCAAACCAAGACTGTACTGTACAACCCGGATTTGTATCAATCCATCATCATCATCCCACAATGTAAGATTCTTGAGAAAGAAACCTGGCAAGTTCAGTGTCTTGTAACTCAGTGACCCAACCATTGTATCCGAGCTGTTTGGAAATAACCTTTCGATTCCAGGGACATAAGAAGGGGATTTTGACCCAAAAAAAAAGATAGAGAAAACGGTTCACAGGACCATAATTATCCAAAAGTTTTTGGTTTATAACCATAATTCTATAATTATCCAAAAGATCCAAAAGCTAACAACTCACAAACAAACAAAAGAAAAAGTCACACAGAACACTACTCTTCGTCGCAACCCATGAACTCATTCATCGTCAAGCTGTGGTCTCCGCTCGCCACAAGCTCTGTGGATTGACATCCTGGTAAGTAGATAACGAACGTCTTGTATCGAGCCTGGTTGAAGTCTTCAAGGAAACCGAGGAAGTCGGAGTCCCCCGAGATCAAAACCAACACTCCCAGCTTCTTGTTGTTCCCACGACGCTTCTTCCTCCATTCCCCCAGCTTCTTCTCCAACTCCTGATCAGCCACCTGACGGGGAGTGGTAATAGTCAATCATCTTGCTCGCCTTCATAGCCTCCACCACATTGGACGGGATCCTGTTCCCGCTCCAGCTAGCACGCATCACAGTGATGCTCATCTCACCTGCATAGCCATGTGCACACATGGATCATTTGCAACAATAACCAACAACAAAAAATTAAAATTCATAAACTAACCAAAATAAGTATATGTGACAAAATCTCAACCTTTAGATTTAGGGGTTTTAGTTAGTTTATGAGTTTTAATTTTTTTTTAATAGCTATTGAACCAGTTAACCCGTAGTACATGAGTAACTAAAATTTCAAACTATATTTATTCTTTATCAAAAGAACGTGATGGACAAAGTATTCAAAGTCTCAAGTTGATGAAACATGTGCCCCATGGTGAAAAGAAAATTTGCAGGGTAGAACAAAATTTATATTTTTTACATTAATGAAAACTCTGCCTTTGA